TCTTAGGTCTAAGTCTAGGTGTCACATGAGCACAGTTAAGTGCTCTGGGATTACCATTCTTCTCAATGTTAGCTGCAATTTGTTGTGATTCACATAATCAAAAATCCTTGCATAAACAATAAAATACAAATAGACATCTTTTTTTCATTCTCTGCTTTCAGCCAGGATCCATCTATCATCCGCAGAGATAATCCCTTGTACCATGGCTTCTAAATCCAAGCTGAACTGGCAGTTTTCTGTTGATGGTATAGCCATTTTTTAATAATCCTCAACAAGGATTTTCCTTACATATATTATTAATATTGTTTCTTAGTTTCCACATTCTGTTGGAAAATCTTTTTTTGAAATGGGAACAAATGTGAATCTTCCAGTTGGTTTGCTGGGTGGCTGTCCTCCAATTTCCTGACACAGCTTGGTGAGGACATCTAGGGCAGCATCCGATTGTTGAAAAGTTACTGGCATCTCATTGGTTCCTGGGCTTTATTTTTTTGCCAGTACCTTCAGTTCAGCTTGAAATTTTTCATCTGCATTGGTTCTTGCTCATGCTGTTTCCTGAAATGGTTCTATGTCAGCCACTTCTTTTTGGGATATACTCTGTATTCCTTCTATCTTCTTTTGATGTTTCCTGGATTTTCCAGGATTTTGCCCATGATATTTAGTATTGGAATTGGTTTTTCACTTCTTCAGCTTGAGAAATGCTGAGCAAATTCTTCTCCCTTTCCCACCCCAGCTCTCTGCACATAGGAGGTGGTTTCTCCTCCTGGATCTCTAAAACAGGAGTTTTATTAATTAAAGAAAAACTAAATGTAATGTATGGAACAAAGGCCATAGGGGAAATCTACTCATTTTATTTATAGTTCCTTAACTTTTCCCTTTTCTATTTCAAGAAACCATCTAAGACACAGCACATTTAGTTGTCATGTCTTCCTTTGCTTTTCTCAGGGTTTCACTGCTTTTTATCACACTGACAGATTTAAGGAATATCATTAATATCACATTCAAGCAAAATATTGCTGATGATCATCCAAAATGGCTAGAATAGTACCTTGGCAAGGAACTGCCAGAACTTCAGGCTGGGTTTAGAAGAGGTCATGGCACTAAGGAGATCACTGATGATGTTGCATGGATCCTGGATGAAATCAGAGAAACCAGAGGAATGTCTGTGCTTTACTGACTATGCAGGGGAGTTTGACTGTGGGTCATAGTAAATTAGGACTAACATTGAGAAGAATGGGTGTTCCAGAACCCTTGCTTATGCTCATACAAAACCAATACCCAGATCAAGAGGCTTTTGTCTGACAAAGCAAGGGAACACTACATGGTTTATAGCAGGGAAGGTTTGTGGCAGGGTTGCATCCTCCCTTCCTACCTATTCGACGTATGTACTGTGCAGATCGTTTGAAAAGCTGGATTTTGTGGAAAAAAACGTGACATCAGGATTGAAGGAAGACTCGTCAACAACCTGTGTTATACAGATGACAATGACACAGTCTTCCTTGCTGAAAATGAGGATGACTTAAGTTTTAGTGCAGAAGATCAAAGACATTACAACCTTCAATATGAATTATATCTCAATATCAAGAAAACAAAAAATCTTACCACAGGACAGATAAGAAGCGTAATAGATGGAGAAAAGATTGAAATTATCAATGACTTCATCATTACTTGGATCCATAATAACACACTTGGTAGTAGTCTTTAGGTGAGCAGGAGACATATTACACTGGGAAAGTCTACAGCCAGGGAACTCTCCAAATTACTGAAGAGCAGTGAAGTCAGTTTAAGGAACTAAGGTGCATTTGATTCAGGTTGTGGTCTTTTCACTCACTTGGTATGCACCTGAGAGCTGGACAGTGAATAAGGATGACAGAAGAAGAATTGATGCCTTTGTGTGCAGTGTTGGAGAAGAGTATGGAATATCCCATGGACTGCCAAAAGAACATACGTATGTCTTGAAGAAAGTACAACACAGTGCTCCTTAGAGGCAAAGATTTCCAGATTCCATTTCACATACTTTGGGCATGTTGTTAAGAGCAGCTATTCTGCTTGCAAAGGTGGAAAGTTTGCAGAAGAGAGGAAGACTGTCAACCAGATGGATTGACATGGTGACTACTTCAGTGGGCTTGAATATTTCAGAAATAATGAGTCTAGCACAGGATAGGACAGAGTTCAGACCTATTGTTCTTATAGTTGCTGTAAGTTGTATTTCATTCAGTAGCACCTAACAACAATTGGTAGCAAGATAGTAACATGCATATATCAGCAACTCATAAAAACTGATAAGGACCAAAAATGAAAGAAATGTGGGTGAAAAAAATACATTAATAGGTAATTCACACACCAAAGATAAGAATAATTCAAATTTATGAAAAAGTTTTAAAGCTCACCCAGTTGGAGAAATGCAAATTAAAACATGACCAAAATATTTTTCTTACATTTTAAGCAGATAAACTTTTAAAAGTATTTTATTGCTTATTCATTTTGAATATACTATTTCTTAACAAAATGATAATTCATTATTATGCCAGTTATTATATGATCTAGATTAAGGGAGGATGAATTTGGTAGTTGTTTTATATTGTTGCATTGGAACCATATCAGCTGACGTTCCAGCAAGCTTTCAGAGGTTATAAATCATACAGGAGGAAAATGCCCATTTTTCACCCACAGAGTACCTGGTGGATTTGAACTGTATGCCTTTGGATGGGCAGCACAGCTATTCTCTAGACGATCAGGGAGGGCATCCTTGAATTTAGTTAATGGCCCATATTTCTTTTATAGCAGGAAGTTAGTTTCTAGTCGGAAAGTTATATATTTGCTAATTTTAGTTATTAATACTACAAGAATATTATTTTTTCTAAAGAGGATAAATAAGTAAATAATGTTACCATATTTCCTTCCATTGCCATAGTGAGGCGAAGAATATATGCAAGTTTTTAATGCTTTATTTAGGTTGATTTGAAAGTTTATTAGACTAGAAACAGTACCTGGAGATTTTAGAAAATTATTAGTTCCATTTATCAAATTTCTTGTGAACTTCTTACCTCTACAGCACATGTTAAATATTTATATGTACAGACAAACCAAACCCACTGTCACCCAGTCTGTTTGAATCTAGCCACCGTGTAGGACAAACTAGAAGTCTCTTAGTAGGGTCCCCACTGCTGTAAGTATATGAAAGCTGATTGCATCAACAACCTCCTGTATAGTGGCTAGTAGATTCAGTGGCCACTGACCTTTTGAGTAGCAGCCTAATTTTTAATCCACTCAGCCACCACATCTCTTTAAGGTCTTCAGCAGCCAGGAAATTAGAAGACATACTGCGATGGAAAAGTCTGCTATTAGGGACTTCTCTAAAGTGCTGAAGAGCAAAAGTGTCACTCTGGAGACTAAGGTGCGCCTGATACAGGCCATGGTCTTTGCCATTACTTGCTATGCATCAGAGAGCTGGACAGTGACCAAGGATGATAGAAGGAGAATTGATGCCTTAGAGCTGTGGTGCTGGAGATGAGTATTGAATGTACCATGAACTGCTAAGATAACGAACAGGTTCATCCTGGAGAGGGTGAGGCCAGGTTGCTCATTGGAGCCAAGGATTCTGAGGCTTTATTTGCCATACTTTGGACATGTTGTAAGGAGGGACTGGTCCTTGGAGAAGGACATCATGTTTGGGAGGGTGGAGGGACAGCGCAAGAGTTAAAGACCCCCTATCAGGTGGATTGATTCAGTGACTGGGGTAATTGGGATGGGTGTGTGGAGACAGTGAGATTGGCACAGGACAGAGAAGGGTTTAAGGCTATTGTACATAGGGTCGCTATGAGTTGCAGGTAACTCAACGGCACATAACAACAACAAGAAGTCACCATACCTCTTTAGGATCTCTTTCTTGCCAGAAGGAGTAATACTGAATTCTTTACCTAGACACTGTTTTCAAGAGCATCTAAATGTAATACCTGCCTTTCCTATAGATCACGGTGCTGTGGGAGTGTGGCCCTAAAGGTTGGCAGCTCCACAGGAGAGAGTTGGGCAGTCTTGTCTTGGAAATGTGATGCGGGGTCACTGTGGGTTGGAGCCAGCTTGATCGCATGTGTTTGTATTTGGATTTTTCTTACAGCTAAGGGTACAGAGCCCCAGAAATGGCCTAGTATAGTGCCAGCAACATGGGCTGGGAACGCAGACCTGAGCTTATGTCTTAGTTCCTCCATTAAACAGCTATATGGCTTTGGGAAAGGAGCTCTGGTGGCTAGTGGTAAGGAATTACTCTGTCAATTCAGAGGCATGCAAGTAGAGTTTGCCAGCTGCTCGGGAGGAGACAGATGGGCAGTCTCCTCCCATGCTATAAGTTGCCTCTGAAAGTCCTCAGCTGAGGTTCAGCTCGATGGTATACAACAAAAACCTAGTAACATCTTTGGGACAGTTACTTCATTTCTCTGAAATGTCTTTTTCCCATACCGTAAATGGGGTAAATATTTTTATCTTAAGTTTGTTTTTAGGCTGAAGTGAGAAGTAATACATTCACTTAAAAGAAAGCTGTGGATCAATAAATAACTTGGGTGGTTGGTTTTTTCCTCTCTCTCTTCCCGAGTTTGTTTCACTATAATTAATATTTCTGTAAGTTAGCCATTTTTAGCTGATATTGGTAAGAACTTGTGCTGCGTTTCCAAAGACAACATGTTTTGAATCCACCAGCTGCACCATGGGTGAAGAATGGGTGATCCGGTATGCAATTCACTGCCTCTGTAAACTGACTGGCAGGCCAAATATGAGTGTGTGCCGACTTGATGGCACACGACCACCACAACAATGAAAAACTTCTGTTAGCAACATTCTCTTTGAATTCAAGCTTTTTCAAATGTTATTTATTTCATGAAATAGGGTTTGTTTTGTTTTTTGTTTTTCTCAATTGGATGCGCAATAGGCACCTGGGTATATACTCATTCCTAATATTTGTACTTGCTTTTCAAAGATGCCCTGCTAATAATGTCCATTTATTTCTTTAGATGTGGAAGATCTTTATGAACCTGTGTCAGTCCCATTCTCATACCCCAATGGACTCAGTGAAAATGCACCTGTTATTGAAAAATTGAAACACATGGAAGCCAGGGCCCTGTCTGCTGAAGCTGCATTAGCTAGAGCACGAGAAGATCTGCAAAAGATGAAGTAATTCATTAGTCTGTTTTCTAGAAAATGTCTTGTATATTGTTTACATTCCTCAAACAATACATCTGATGGCAAGGTAGAAGTCAGTTGCTGCTGAGCCACTTGTGTCTACTGGTGACTCATGTGTGTCAGAGTAGACCTGTCCTGATTTTTCAGATGCAGATAGCCAGGCTTATTTTTAGAGGCACCTCTGGGTGCATTCGGGCTTGTGGTGTTAGGCTAGCAGCCGAGCATGGTGTTGGTACCATGTGGGAACTCCAGTGGCAAGACAGAAGCTGGTAAAACATTTTATAGACTTGCAGTTACAGAGTAGATATTTTAATAATAGCAAAGAGTTGCAGCCTTTTCGTATGTTATCATTTGTACTTTTACCAGTTGTCATATACTTTGTGATTACTTTTGTACTAGTGATAATTGTTCTGAAGACTTGCTCTTTTGTGTATTTTGGTCTTTGATATTGCTTACCTTTGAGTTTTTATTTCTAATTCTACATTTTACATTTCCTAGCATAGATTTTGATAGTTGGAGGATTAATGTTTGCCAGTTCGGAGGAACACAGGATTGAAATTTTTACAAAGATCCAAGTATAACCTATATATTTAATCAGGTAAATTAGGTCATTGTTGACAGTGAATAACCATTCACTGGTGTACTTGGATGAGTTTAACGTTAATATGAACCACTTGGAGATCTTCAGCTGCAGGTACTGATTGAGGACATCTGGAGTAGGGTCAGAGTGTCTGTACCTGGTTCCCAGCTGAGGTCCGTGTGCTAACTGCAGAGCCTCATCTTGAGTAACAAGGCATTAGTGGGGAGACCTTTGAGTATTCTTTACCTGCTGGCTTGTGAGGTGATTGCTACGGCCTGCATATTCATTTGGTGGTTTGCCGGAATGTCCTACAAGAAAAGTTATATAGGGACATAGTTCTTTAGTGATTATGAGATTTTTTTTTTTACTCTGCTAAGCTCTCCCAATACCAGCTACTGTCTGCCCCTTTTGCCTTCTCCTTGCATATCTTTATAGGTTCTTATAGTGTCTTGATAAGAGAGGAACTGAATTGTAGATCTGGAGTGGGTGGTGATGATGTTTGTATGGAAATCTGAATTTGAGTCCACTTTCTTCTAACCTAATTCTCATGATCCAATTTATAAAGAACAGAGGTCATGTTATATTTGATTCAGCTTCTAACAGAAGAATTTTTTAAACAATAGAAATAATAAAGTGGAGTAAAAGTAACTTCCTTGTTTTGTACAGTTGAAAAGGCAGCTGGCAGTGCTTTGTGGCTTATTGATGAAATGCCTGAACTAGTTTTGCATGCACTGCTACGTATTATCCAGCAGAGGGCGCTTTCTGTTGCTTCAGGGAGAATGTGCTTTGAAAGGCTCCTCACACTGCACACCCACTCCCTCCCCTTCCCTTTTCCTCAACCTCTAGCTTTTCCTTTTTTTCATGGTCCAGTAAACCTGTCTCAAGGGTGTATTTCAAATTGATTACAGACAATTTGCTCAGGATTTTGTGATGAACGCAGATGTCAGAACCTGCTCGTCATCCACTACTGCCATTGCGGACCTCCAGGAGGACGAAGATGGTGTCTACTTCAGCTCATACGGGCATTATGGGATACATGAAGAAATGCTAAAGGTTAGAAAACAGCACTCATGTGCCAAATCCATCCTGAGGAAACCTAGAATCAAACAGATTCTCCTCTCTTGATTCATATCCTGTAGAAGTTCTGCTTTTTAAATCCCCTTGATGCTTGATACCTCACCTTGAGTTAAAACAATTACAGAAACACTGGCACTGTGAAGTAGTTAAGGTCATTAATATTTACTAGGAAACCACTTATTATTTAAATAGAATACTAGCAGAACAAATCCTGATGTATTTAATCCTCTCAAGACCTCTTCTTAAATTAGATCAGTTAAATTATATAGTTTCTGTTTAGTTACAAAAGAGATAATTAATTTTAAATGGAAGTACTATTTCAGTATGGGGAAATAACTTTTTTGCTACAAGGTTCAGTGATAAATTATTCTCACAGTTAAATTTTTTCTTTTTAATATTTGGAATAGTCTATACACAAATTTTCCTAGATTGGTCACGTCAGGTATCTAAATATAACTGATTTTCATCTTTATAACGGTATTGTACATAAAAATAAAAGTTTTTTAAGCTTTACGTGATAGTTACACATTCACAAAAGTATTACAGATTTTAAAACACCAAGATTAAATTTTTTAACTTTCTGAAAAAAAGTAGCTTAAATAAAGGTTGGAATTAGGTGAATATTCAGATTTTTAAGTAATTCTTAAAAAAATCCAGATTATTAAATGTTATTGCTTAGATGTCACTATTACTTTTTCTGTCCTCAATAGTTTAATTCCATTGAAGCTCTAAATTAGGTTAATATAAAACTTATGCATTTAATATAACCAAAGATCTTTAATAACATGTAAATGTTTTTGTTAAATAAGTTTGCAGGGTCACAGAGTGGAGATTTGCTGAGTTATAGTAACTATAATTAAGTTTGTAATTGTGTTTTTAAGCAGTATCATACTTTATCAATCACATGTCAGTCATGCTTTTACTTTTTGTTGTTATGAAACAATGACCTAGCATTATAAATAAGAAATTTTTATTACAAAAATTTTTTGGAGTGAACTTATTTAAAAGAAATAGACTGTTGTTTGTTAAATTTAATTTGGTTATATTGGAAATATTTTCTTTGAAGGAGGTAATTTAAGCCTATGTTTGTCATTTTAAATCAACCCTCAGTGTAACTGGCATGGAACTGTAAATTCTTTTTGGTATGTACATTGTGTGGATTTTTTTCAGACAGGTAAAGGCCGCTAAGCCTCCCAGTAGATGTTGCATATATTGGCAGCACTGAATTTAAATACTTCCTATGTACAGATCACTTTGTAGTTAACAAAATAGAATTCCTCAAACTAGAGAATCTTTGCAACTGACACTATATATACATTAGTTCTTTTTTTAAAGTCCTTTTGATATACATGGATTTAAGGTTGAAGTTTTCCTTTTTCAGTGCTATTTTTCCCTTGAGGAATCTTGTTTACAAATCCTTATTGCAATCATGCACCAAGCCTTAGTTTCTCTTACCTGTTGTCCATGTAACAATTTCTTTTTGGAGATGGCTTAAATAAATGTTTATATGATGTACTAAAAAAGAACCTTTTTTTAAAAATTTTACTGAGTTATGTCCTATGAATTAATTTGCAACACACATTGCATCAAATACTGTTCCTTAGCAGAAAAACTCCTAGCACTCCCACTATTCAAGATTGTGCTGTGTCGTGCTACTACTGGAATCTTACATGACAAGTAATTTAAAACTGAGAAAAATCATTTTTATGAACATTATTATGGTAATTAGAATTATTTTTGCTTTTGTAGGATTATGATTTTGAGTTTTTGTTACCTAGTCTCAGATATTTTAAAGACCGTTTTGCTTTAAAATTTTAATCATCATTACCAATAAAGGTAGTTTAGGATCTTGTTTTCTATAGTCAAGATGAACCAGTTTTCTTGAATTTCAAATTTAGGATTGGTATGGAGATGGATTACGTGAATTTTGCAATCCGTTGCCACTTCTCTTCCTTTATTTTTCTGAAGAGTCATTGTTAATACCATAAACCTGAGATCACCACACTGTTTTCAGAAAACCCTTGTTCACTCTGATGAGCATTTCTCTCTGATCGTAGTATCATTTAGAAAATTGGAATTTTAATAATATCCCTTTTTTTTCCTCATTATGTCTGTAGCGGACTCATGTATTCTGTCCATCTTCATGAGCATGTTGATTACGAGCAAAACGTTGTTTGTCCATTCAAAGTAGCACACTGTTTGACTGCTTGCCATTTACAGATTTCTGCCCTGAACACGTTAAAGCTAACAAAGAATGCCCAAACTAAAAAATCTTTTTACCTGACCTTGTTTGTTGAAGTCTTTTTGATGTACAAAAATTTAAGACATCCCACCTTGAAGTTCTCAGTTGCAATTTTTCCTTTTTGGAGAATTTATAATATGTAATTTTTTTCTGTTAGCTTTATTTTTTTTTTTTTTTTTTTTACATTAAGGAACATATTTTTAGAAAGACTTCTCTGATATTTTCCTAAGCTTAAGTTATTATCCTCTTTCCTAATTAATAGAGTAGTACAAATCATAATTACTATTTCTTTTTATTACCTTGTTAATTTGTGTTGAAGTTAGTCTTTTGTTAATATACTAGCATTTTAGAAATAATTGAGAGAAGGCTAGACTTTTGCTTGATCTTTCATATATCCAGTGGATTTTCCTTTCAGTCAGAGCTGTGCTTTATATAAGGTACAGTGTATAAGGTGCCCACCACTGTACAATGTGCAGTGTGTGATAGATCCCTCGGATTTCATTACACTGGAGTGATCACATGAAAGAAATCAGACAAATACTGAAAGAACTGGGATGAAAGATTATCGTTTAGGTGAGCAGCAGTGCATAGAGTTATGACAGCAGTTGGGGTTCCATTGATTAAGTTGGAGCTATGGTGAAGAATGTGATTGGTGAGAGCTTTCCAAGTGACTGCCTTCTTGACTGATGCCCACCCTTCCTAGGTTTTGCTGTTTAAGCAAATCTTACTCATTCTAGTGTAAGGTAGAAAAGCTGTAAGTATGTAAAATGATGTCCTTTAAAAAATGACCATTTTAAAATTAGATAACATTAGTATTTGTGAATATATTGAACTAGACTTTTTTGGTAATTTCTTGAAATATCTTTTGAGAAGATTTAATAAACATGAGTTAAAAATTTTTTTTGTAAAACAATTAGAATAATATAAACCATAGAATTAATTATGATCCTTTTCCCCTTTGAAATCTAGCCATTAAAAGAAAAGGGGGGGGACTTAATTTTTCATAAAATGTTTCTGGGGCTAAAAGTAACATTTAGATATTGTGCCATTTGCTGTAATTATTTTGCTTTACATAGTTTGAAACCCAAAACTAACGAAGTTAGAAATCTCATTTTGTGATATTTGTTTATTTACTTGCATATCCTGTTTTATTTCCATGGTAGCAGAGCCTCTTACTGCTTAATTTGATTAATGCATGTATCAGTTTCTGTAATTTATAAAACTATCAGTTCTGTTCATGATCCAACATAAATGTTAGAGTTGAATGCCTTGCTCACAGGTCATGTGAGACTGTAGGAGTCTGCAGAACTCAAGTGATTTACAGACAAACCTCAGAAATGGCTATGGGTTCAGCTCCAGATGACCACAATAAAGCGAATGTCACAGTAATGCGAGTTACATCAATTCTTGGTTTTTGTGGCTTTAAAAAAATTTTTTTTGGCTTTGCGTTGCATTTAAGTTATGTTGACACTGTACTGTCTGGTGAGTCTCAAGTTTGCAGTAGCATTATGAAAATGTTTGAAATATTGCAAGAATTACCAAAATATGACACAGAAATACAAAGTGAGCACATGTTACTGGGAAAATGGTGCCTGCCAAAAGACTTGGCTCAATGCAATGTTACCATGAACGCTGTGTTTATTAAAAAAAAGACAGGATCTGTAGTGCAATAGAATGAACTACAATAAAATAATATGAAAGCATTTAATTATCATTTCCTATTACTAAAATTTACTAAAAGATATGATTGTGAGTTTAGTAGGTGATCTGTGACATACCCAGTTTAGCTTAATTTTCATATGTAACTGCAGTGTTTACAATTGTTTATGTTTCCCTCTATTTTTCTCTTGCTCTGCTATAAGGAATCACTCTAGATTTCAGGCCCCATTTGGATGAGCAAAATGTGTTCATGTTGTGTTAGCCTGAATGATCAATTGAAGTCTTACAGAAAAACAGTGGGTATAAGAAGGAGAATGTTAGCTTTTTAAGAAAATAGATCCTATTTGTCTCCCAGTGTTGTTCTCAAAAAAATTTTGTATTATATGTAAATTTTTATTCTTTCTTGTTTTCTTTAGGAAAAACAGTAAGCTTGGTGGTCCAAGCAAAAAGTATGTGTGGAAATAGGAAATATATTCCTTTAAAAAAAATGTGTTTTTCAGACTGTCCTATTCACTTCTTGTCTCCTTTCCATCCTAGGACAAAGTGCGAACTGAAGGTTATCGAGATTTTATATACCAGAATCCACAGATCTTCAAAGACAAGGTGAGTAGCACAGACTACAGAATTGCACATTTCATGTTGTTCCTGAGCGGTAGGAATCCTCTGGTAGGTCACTGCTGTGATAACAGTTGATTTAATGGATGCTGGCTTTATTTCAGGGAAGACTTTTATGATACTGCTATGCAGTGCAAAATACTGATAACAGAAATGCTCATTGGTACTGTCAGTCCTTAAACTCTTGGTAAATTGAAATTTATTCATTACAGTGTCATAGTTAAACTATGACGGTTCAGATAAGTTTGTGTAAGCGATAGTTTTAATTACAGTAGGAATTTCAATGAATGTTCAGTTGTATAAAATAAGTCTCATACAAAAGTACACTATTTTGTGTGTTACTATTGTTTGTATTAATTAGTTAAAATTAACTTTTAAGTTACTGAGTGGAATACAACTCATAGCGACTCTATGAACGAAAAAAAGTCCTGGAATAAGTATTAGAGTAGGATGTGGTTTTGTGTGATTTCTTTAGAGCCTCTTTTATTTGCAGTTTTGTAAAACTTTGTATATTATCAGTAGCCATATTATTGCCTTGAGTTATTTCATAATGATCCTTTCACTGTGAATGAAAAGATTTTGTGGAGTAATTTTTAGAAATTGAGTATCCAGAAACACACATCCAGGAACATGTGTGTGTATTTAAGTTCATATTGTTTGTTTCTTTCCATAATTTTTTAACTTTTCTCCTTTCCTTCCTTTTTAACTTTGGCTAACAAATTCAGACTCTTCTGACATTCATTTTGGTGTTTGAGTCCATAGTTGCATGAGTTGCATTTTAGATGGCACTTTAATATTTCTTGTGCTTTAGAGACTATTTCCTTGAAATAAAATCTAGATGGGCATTTTTTTTCTCATAGCTCTTTCCTAAAAGCAATGGCTCACTTGTATAGATCAAGTTGGAAAGGTCTCTAGGAACCTGAAATTTATATGGTGCTTAAATAGAATTTGGCTAAATTTTTACCACAAGATGTTTACAGTGATGTGTGTCTGTGTCTTTACTAATCCTCCATGTTAAGTGCCTTTGAGTCAGAACCAAGTCATAGCTGACACTCCAGTGGGTTTTTAGAAGCTGTAAATATCACAGGGCGATTGCTCCTCTTTTCCCCACAGAGTGCTGTTGGATTTGAACTATCAGGCTTTGGGTTACTGATCCTTACCACAAAGCTACTTGTTGTGTAACATAAAAGTTGGAACCAACCCATAGCTGACCCTCAAGAATGTTTTCAGAGGCAGTTAATCACATGGGAGGAGACTGCCCATCCTTATCCCACGGAGCAGCTGATGGATTTGAACTTCATGCCTTCAGGATTGCAGCACTACCATCAGAGCTCCCACAAAGCCACTAGAACTCCCTAATCCCCTATAGACAAATATTTCATTTTTTTTTTTTTTTACATTGTTGTTGTTGTT